ACATTTAAATGCTCATGTTTTTGTATTTGTTCTTAGTTTCTTGTAATTGTATTGTTTTATTTTAATAATTTAATTGGCTTATTTCTACATCACCTTTGAGATGATTACATGGTATTAAAATATATTAAATAAAAATGCATTTTTTTATTTAATATATTAAATAAATTTACCAGAGAACATTTTATATACAAGCAATTGGTACAGAAGCTCTCTTGAAACAGAACCAAAGCAGATTGTGTCCCTCAACATAAACAAGAGACAGAACCACTTTTAAAGTGTAAGAGCAGGGAGAACCCTAATGAACTTTTTATTTATTTTTATTTATTAAATTTTCAACCGCCCATCTCCCCCCAAGGGGGGAACTCTGGGCGACTCACAACAAACATTAAAAACATAAATATATATATAAATACATAAAACATTAGTTAAAAACATTACTAAAAAAGGGGAAGGAGAGTCCTAGAAGATGAAGGATCTGGGGCTGAAGACAGCAGGCCTCTATGGGGCCAGCCAACCCCACTTCTGACAACCTCCCTCCCCGCCCCAGGCCGGATGGCAGAGCCAGGTCTTCAAGTCCCTCCGAAAGGCCGGGAGTGAGGGGGCCTCTCCGGGGGCAAGATGTTCCAGAGGGCGGGGGCTACAGCGGAGAAGGCCCGCCTTCTGGACCCCGCTAGTCGGAGCTCTTTTGCCGAGGGGGTCCGGAGCATGCCCTCTCTGTGCGATCGGGTGGGACGGGTTGAAGTCGTGGGGGCAAGGCAGTCCCTCAGGTAGCCAGGCCCCATGCCGTGTAGGGCTTTAAAGGTGATAACCAACACCTTGAATTGGACCCGGAAGCAAACTGGCACCCAATGCAGCTCGCGGAGCAGAGGCGTTCCATGGGCCCTCCTTGGGGCTCCAACAATAGCCCGCGCGGCTGCACTCTGGACCAGCTGTAGCCTCCGGATACTCTTCAAGGGCAGCCCCATGTAGAGCGCATTGCAGTAGTCTATCTGGGACATAACAAGGGCATGAGTGACTGTTCGAAGGGCATCCCGATCCACGAAAGGGTGTAACTGATGCACAACCCGAAGTTGTGCAAAGGCCCTCCTGGCCACGGCTGCCTCCTGCTCTTTGAGCAGGAGCCGTGAGTCTAGGAGGACCCCCAGATTATGCGCTGGGTCTGTCTGGGGCAGTGCCACCCCATCCAGCACCAAGGATGACAACGTCCCGGATACAGGGGAGCCATAACCCACAGCCGCCCCGTCTTACCAGGGTTCAGCTGGAGCCTGTTGCTCCCCATCCAGACCCCCACAGCCTCCAGGCACCGCGAGAGGGCGGCCACGGCATCACTTCCCTCACCAGGGATGGAGATGTATAGCTGCGTATCATCAGCGTACTGATGCTACCTCACCCCATGGTGACGGATGATCTCGCCCAGCGGCTTCATGTAGATGTTGAAAAGGAGCGGAGAGAGAACCAAACTCTGCGGCACCCCACAGAGGAGGGGCCGAGGATGGGACCTCTCGCCCCCCATCACCTTTACTCCTTTAACATGCACTGAAGATGAAGCATATGATCTTTTCTTTTCTTTTCTTTTCTCTTCTCTTCTCTCTCTCTCTTCTCTCTCTCTCTCTCTCTCTCTTTCTTTCTTTCTTTCTTTCTTTCTTTCTTTCTTTCTTTCTT